AAAATTTCAGGGAAAGACTAAATTAAGATACCCTATTAAATTATAATAGTGTTTATGAAAATTTAATAATATAGTTTACCTGTGGCATATATCAGTCCAGTACGTTAGTCTTTTCCCTGATTTTTTGTAGCCTATAGAATTGCAATGTCTGGGTCCATCTTAATGGAACCATGAATAATAACATGCAGGTAGAGAGGGCTTCATGATATTTGACAGTTGATAACAATATGAAATGGTCATTTTATTAGCAGCTAACAGGTGGAATTGTAGAATAAATGGAATTGGATTGACTGAACATAAGTACAGTTTTGTGTAAGACAGGTTTAAGATGAAACCTTGACTGAAATCTAGGTCTAGGATTTGATAGTTCAGAAGTCTTAATTCATCTGACTGACAAAGCATATGAGCCTCTTTAAATAAAAGTTGAACTTTTGCTGATTGGAAGACTGTTGAGAGTGAATTGCTGTAATTGTTTCAGTGTTCAACTAGGAGGAGGACTAAGGTCAAATTTCTACACAGTCATGGAACTGGGTGATTTTTGGGCAACTAGTGTCACCAAGTTGCAACAGCTTTGTGAAGAAATAATGAGCTGCTTGGAGGAATAGTGAGATGTAAATACAATAAGTAAATATATTGAATCATATAGTAGCTGTTTTTACAATGGTCTGAGAATCTGTCCTAAGCATTTGAATTAGAGTTATGCTGTGATTTACAACTTTAAATCACTAGAATTATTCCTTCAGTTCCTTCCCATGTTTAAAATGTAGCATCAGAGATGTTTGACTGCATAGCTCACCTGATGGCTTTGGATAGTCTTCTAGGCATGCACATTTCTATCCTGTATTTATAATACTCAAAGTAGCCACCTTGGTATACACTTAATTCAAAATACAGGAGGTAGAGATTTAAATCTTTTGGTTGCCTTTGATTCTTAATATTGGTTTGGACCTTGGTTTAGGCATACTTAGAGCAAAACCATTGAAATAATGGAGCTTAAATTAGGGTTATCTTATGTTGATGACTGCTTGTGCTTTTCTTCCTAACACCTGTGTGTGTGTAAAAACAAATTATGGAAGCAACAATAGAAGATGCCTATAAAATTCAGTGAATGAAATAGGGTGCCTCTAAAGTAAAACCTTATCATGCTTAGTCATGACTAGGTTAGGTTTATTTCACTGAGCCTACTATATAACTAAGACTGGATCTAATCCAATTATTTTATACTAACATGGGATTAATAATTTGCTTTGTGTTATTATTTCTGATGCCACCTAAAAACAATTCAGAATTGCTGCTGTCTGTCATAAGCCTGAAGTTAAAGACTGCCTTTGCACAAGAGATGAATTCCTAATTTTCCACTTTGACAGCATTTTTTTTCTTTCCTGGGGCTTCTCCTTTTAACTGGACAAGGCCCCTTCCTCTGTCTCCGGGGACTGCAGCTTGGTGATCATGAACACATCCCTTGGTGCTTCGTGGCCCTTCTACTGGTTTTTAATTTTTTATTTTATTTACGGCAACTGGGAGTCCAGCATACTGCAAAATGAAATCCTAGCCTGCAGCACCATCTTTCTACACAGAAATGTCTCAGGGGCACAAATGGCCCCCAAAGCTATTCTTAGAAAATTAAAATATGGATGATGGGGACAGTACATTAGTTGTCTATTGAGGAAAGGGTGCTGAAGCAGAAGACTATGGATTCAGAAAAGTGGTTTTATGTTATAGAACTCAGAGACCACACGTGGCTTGTACTTAGAGTTACTATTTTTCCGTCTCACCAGTTTGCCTTCTGGAAAATTGGTGCCTTGTGACTGGCCATTACGGTGGGCCTTTTGTGCATGCACGCCCTTCCTGGGCAGCCACTTTTCTAAGGGTGCTTCTGGCAAAATTCCAGATGAAGCCACCAGCCCCAAAGGTTGGGGAGCCCTGCTTTATTTGAGCCTAATCTTAGCAGGGTATTCTCCCTCCTCACACATGTTAAACATAATAAAACATTAGAACAAGGTTTACCTTCATAGCACAGTGATGGGGATCCTGCTTTACCTAAACAGCTTTTACTCGAATCCTAATTTAAAGCCCAGTGCTTTTCCATAGTCAGTGTATGTCCCTGATATAACTCATTGTTTATAAGGTTGCGTGCTTTTCAAGCAAGTAGATGGGAACAGCTGGGAACTTGCTTACCAGAACCAGTATAGAAAAGCACAATATAGATTTTTTTTTTCATATGGTGACTGACAGACTACAGCCACTCACAAGTTCTAGCTTTTTAATCCTTTGAGTACTCTTACTCGAATTTTGTCCAACAATTTTGGCATAAAGAATTAAAACTATAAGTACTTGATTAATGGTATAATTAACTTAAATGATGCCTCAGACTACCTGAGAACCTGTTGCAAAACCCACATTGTTTATACACATGTCTCAGTTTTGCCAGCAAGGCTTTGAATAAATAAGCCAAGATTGTACCATATTCATGTATCTTTTCCCCCCTCATTCCAGATTCCAAAGTCTAGCCACACAAGAAGTGGTTTTTGAGAACCAGGCTTCCTGCTTCTTAACACTCCTACCCAATCGCTGCTGGAAGAGATTTGCTTCATTTCCTTTCCTTTTCATAGCAGTGTTGTTTTCCACAGGAAGTGGCAATTTTTCCCTTGGATATAAAGCATGCTAACTGTTGTTATAACAAGCACTGCTGTGTAACTCTTTGTAGAGGCCCACTTTTAACACAAGTGTCCACTTCTACTTGGATATGTAAACTTCTTTAACAGGGTGTTACACTTTTCCCTTAATGAAGGTCAAACTGCACAAGTAGGCCTAAGGAACTTCAGTTATTATGCTACTGCCATCTATCATTTTAACTGTTTTCAGGTTAAATTTCATATATTTCAGGATCAGGTGACTTGTCCAATACAGAAATGCTGGAATCTTAGGCATGCTTTGACCACATGAAAACATTTCACTTAAAAAAAAATATAATAAATTACTGCAGCTTTCTGTGCTGTTCTGAAAAATCTTTTCCTTGCCGAGAGAAAGCCCCCGTTGAAGTGCACTGTAACACAAGAATTATGACTTACATTCCTTTCGTATCTCAGGAGTATAAACTATACATTATTCTTCATCCCTTACATTATGATTGTATTTATGAACACATAGACCCAATCTTTAAAAAATAGCGGTTAGACTTACTGCCACACTTTTGCCAAACTGCATTTGCATTCTTCATGAACCTGCTTTTAATTTTTATTTCATTATATGTATGTTAAAATGGGATCATTATAATCCCTGCCATGAACATTTAGAGAAAATCTGAAAATTTCAAGTACTCTGCATATACGGCACTATTGAATTTTAATTAACAGAACTGTCAGCATTTTATGGAGGCAGGTGGAGCAATATTTTAAAAACTACAGTTTACAGCCAACTCTTCACATCATAACCCAAACCCAAACCCTCTACTTCCCTGGAGGGGAGCTGTGCCATGTATAGTACATGACTCGCATTAATGTTAATGGGAATTACAAGCCCAATATAAGCATAAAACATTCCTGAAATGTTCTGGTTTATTTTAAGTCTTATCTTTTCACCCAGCAAGGTATGTACATTTCTTGAACATGATTAGTAGCAAAACCTGTAAATAAGGCTGCATGCCTATGGTAAACCAGGAGAGGAGGGGGAGGGTGACAACAGAAAACATCCTTTACTTTACTTTCAACTATTCTGTGATGCCATTCATTGACACTATTCCATACCACCAATTTTAACTGCTGATCACTATTAAAAATGTATTGTAAATAGCCGTCGTTTTTGTGCCTAGTTATTTTAGTGTGTGTGTTTGTATTGGTGACCAGTTTAATTCTTTATGCGAAAGAACTGACTAAAATACATAACTTGTTTTTCACCACATGGTCCCATGTGAATCTGTATGCAGGGCAGGTTTCTTTCTGGATTGTATGCAGGCAAGCCAGAGACCTTCTTGCAAGATGAGGGGTAGGCAATCAGGAACCACCCCCGCACCGGCCGCCCCAGCTTTTGTGTACAATTCCTACAGGCCCCAGCCTGCATGCCAGTGGTCATGAAATATGGGAGTTCTAGTTTACCTACCCTAGATCTGTATTTGCTGCTAAAATTCTAAACCTACTGGTTTTTGTGGTTGGTACGAACAAGGGTTTGACAGAGAGGACAGAATTGGAAATGAGAAAGGGAAGTGGTACAAACAAATATATCCATTCCTCTCTGTGACGACTGCTGCTAAGAAACTACATGGCCAAGAAAACCAAAAGCAGGATCAGCTTCTCTTCTATTACACAGTGTTGCAACTTTTGGCAATCAAAAGATGGAGAGGTAACATAGGCCTCTTGGACATGTGCCTTTTGTTCCCCAGCCCTATCCTGTAAGCAACCTGCTTAGTGGAAAATTTATGTAAGCTTGGCTTATCAGAGTTTGATATTTCCTCTGCCAAATAAGGTAGAATCTCTGTGGGCCTGTGCTGAGAACTACCAATTGTGAAGTCAGAGATATGAAACATTTGCAGTGTGTTTTAAAGGGCACGTTTTGTAAGTACAAGGAGGGTAGAGATGTTCTGTTGTATTCTGATGCTCACTAATGATTGTTTTGTAGTAATCAAAATATACTGAGCTGTTAAACAGTAAATCTTTTGTTTGAAAAAGATCATTATCAGTTATAATTTGGATAATCCTAAATCCACACTATTGAGGCTTTAATAAATATTTCATTCAATCTAGAATGCAAATAATGAAATCACTAAACATTCATCAGTCATTAAATCTTTGAAATATGAAGTCCAAGGAAAAGAAGAACAGATGCGGGAACTGCAGGAAAAGTAGGTTCACTTTGTCTATCTGTTGTGTTTGCTTCCCCCCAGTGGTAGAAATGTAATTGCTCTAATAGCATTTCAGATCAAGTATGGCCATTTTACTGCAAATGATCTTTCCATGTGTTTCTTTTATGTTGATTTTTCTATATACTTCAGGTGTGTATCATGTAGTTGACATTAAAAAAACTCAATAAATTGTTAATTACTACAATTTCTATATAGCAAAATGAATATCAACAGTCACATTTCAGATTCCATAATAGACTTGGTTATCCTTGATGTATATTTAAATGGGTACCTTAGCACAGCTAAAAGCAATCTTTCAAATACAGCAATTCTTTGCCTAAGGGCTAAGAAGCATGTCAAGGGTTACATGCTTAAACTGGATTAAATATCCAGTTTTACAATTGTAAAAAGAACAGTTAAATTTATTTTTTATTTGAGTTCATATTTGTAGATGGTTTGTTGAGTTAAATGTTGAAGACACAAAATATTCATGAGTCAGTAAAGTTGCTACATACTAATGGGTAATCTTGAAAAATAAAAGTATTTTTATTGGCATGGTTCTTTCTTCTTAAATATCGGGATAACTTTAAAAGGCTTTAACAAAATGTATATTTTATTGATTAAAGCCTTAAGATACACCTAGCGCACCCAGTAGCTCTGTAGTTTAGATTTCGTATTCAGATATGTCTATGGGCTCCCATTATTTTATAGAGTAAATATTGAATGTGCTTTGCTAGAAGTAATCTGCTTGATTGCCCCCAATACGCTGATGTGTCCATTCAAATGTAAATTCCTCCCATCAGTTTTTACAATGCTGTAGTTTTCTTGCTGATTTTATGTGGTACTGACATGATATCAAGAACAATGTATTGTATATAATTATACTGACTTGTTTTATTTGGGTCAAATAGTTTTTCGACAGGTTTACAGTTCAAAAGTAATGCCTTTCTTTTAAAAGTCATATGCCAAAGTAGTATCTTTAAAATCACTGTATTTTTAATAGATAATACTAGTGTATTTTTAAAAAATTCTCTTATATTGTTATAAAGGTTTTTCACATACTAACCTATGATACATAATCATCACAGGCAATTCATCCCATAACAGCTTTAAATGAATACTTTATTAAATTCATTTATTTTTCTTTTCTCTGCCAATCTGCACTTAAGTATTATAATATTCTGCTTCCACTTGCTCATAATTAAACACTCAACTTAGTATGGTTTGCTGTAAATATTATATTTATATTGCTCCATATTTCTGGTATAAAAATATGTTACTTAAGATTCACAAGTCCACAGAGTTTGTCTGCTTTGCCCTTATATATATAGAATATGTCAACGTTTTCAGCACCTTTGGATTGGCAAATGGTATACAGATTAGCGCTCACTGTAGTCATGTATTTTAATTATTCAAAATAAGTACACGCTAGTACTGTTCCATAATTCTGTGAATACTATATTTCATCCCTATTCCAAGGATTTCTCGAATGGAGAGAGACATAAGTATGAAAAGGCATTTGATAGAAGATTGGAGACTGCGTATGAAAGCAAATCAAGAAAAGGAGAAAAGCTTTAATGAAACATTGCATACTCTTGAAGAAAAGGTATTTCATGTTTGTTATTCATTTTAATCCAAAAAATGGGTTTCACTGACACACACGTACATGCACACACATCTAGTCAGCCATGACACTATTACAAGTTTTGAACATCATATGGATTTAAAAAATCATTGATGAGTATCCATTTAAATTTCTGTCAGATTTCTTTGCTTAATTGTAATCATCATAATAATTCCATTTGTATACAGAGATAGTAGAACTGTGCTCTGAAAACAAAACAAAGCAAACACCCCAATTTAACATGAGAATGAAATGTTTCCTGTCTGAAATTGTAGTACAGCTAGCATGTCACATGTTGGGAAGTTTCCTAAAAATTAGAGATGAAATAAGATTGTACCTGTCATATAAAATATATGTAAGCTGTCATAGAAAGAAAAAATACCTGTAAATTTGCCTTATCATAATATTCATGTGTCATCCCTTTCGCTATTATATATTTAATGATTCCATTTTATGCTATTCTGCAGGTGTTTTCCCCATATGTATTTTATGAATTTTTCAGATGTTCAGAGGTGATGAAATGGCACCTTCCTGACACAATCTGTGCAACACACCTTGTCCCTTACTTGCTAGAAAACAGGGCACATGTGTTGGTATCCCTGAGGCTGCACACTGTACAAGCCTCAAACAGAAATAGTTCTCAAGGCAAATGCCACTTTGATTCCCCTTAAAATCAGGTGTTGGCTGCCTGGCTCAGTAGCCTGCTCTGGCAGTCGTTAAGCAGTTGTCAGTTCCAGAGAGAGAGCTACTCTCCTGCCCTCTGTGTTGGAGATAAGATGTCATTAAGAAATCTGGCAGAGAGAGGGAGGGGGGTGGGGAAATCACAAACATAATGAAGGCCATGTGAAATAAATACTTGTCTTATTGCTTTTTAGGTAGTGGGGGGAAGCATGTTAGAGATCGTTGGTGTACTTTAATTCTGTTTTGCTTTAAGTCTTACATCATTTAAGTCTTGCATTTTTCATGTAATCTGAGGGTGAGAAAATTTCTACTAACACTGTATTACATGGAAGCTTAATGAAATTTCTTTCATAAACTGATTCTAAGTCATGATTCATATGGAGAGCGAGAGAGAGAGAGAGAGAGAGAGAGAGCGAGCGAGCGAGAGAGCGCGCGCGCGCGCGCACTACTGGTTAGTAGTTTTCAGTTTGTATGGTTAATGTCACCTCCTATCAGAATCTTTGTGTAGATTTTTTTCTCATGTTAACATCTGGTAGTTTTTAAATGCTGATGAATTTAGTTGTAACTAAAAATTTGTAGTGATGTAGCAGTAATGTGTGAACAAGTGATAGAGATTTCAGGGGGATACAATTCATGCATTAACAGGTGCTAGCCTACACTTTCACCTAAATCTGTAAAATTAAATGTTGTTAATGAAATGTTTTCAGGTCTTTCATCTAAACAATTCAAATATTTTCCCTAATAACCTTTATTTTCTGGGTATTACTTCAGGTCAAGGCATTGACTGAAGATTGTTCAAACAAAAAAGCATCAATTGATTCACTAAAGCAAAGGCTTAATGTAGCTATGAAAGAAAAGGCACAGTATGAGCAGATGTATCGCAAAGCTAAAGAGGAGTTGGAGAAAAAGGTATATAATTACAGAGTTTCCAGATTTAACATATAATACTAAATTCCTACCTGAGCTTTTTCTGTGTACAGTATTTCTTACAAATTAAGATGCATGTTGTCAAGAATAACATTTTTATTATGCCTATAGCAGCATCTCTGTGATTTTAATTCAATTATTATTAGTATTATTTACCCCATAGCCAAAGCTTTCCAGGTGGTTATCAACAATCCATAAAACTAGACAATAAAATACAATAAAAATACCATAAAATTGAAGAATAAAATAAATAAGCCCCACATAGAAGGCATTGCAGGTAGTGATTTCCACCTTGAGCCTGTGTAGGGAAATTTTATTGTGTTTCCACAGAAATGACAGTCCTTTAAACAGTGTGACATCGTTTCTGGATGCTCTCCTGTTTCGTTCAAGTACAATTTCAATGTGGCTTTATTTCAGGAGATTAAAGTTGCCAATCTTGAAGGTAAAATGGCTGAGGCAGAGTGTGCCATGACCGAAATTGAAACTACCGCCTCTCAACAACTCCATGGCTTGGCAAGGCAAAGTGAACAGGCACTCGAAGCAGTGCAGAAGAGGTTGATAATGTCCAATGAAAAAGTGGAAGAGTTCATCACCTTTGTGAAGGTCTGATGGTTTTTTTCAAAATTACCTTCTGGCTTTTGCCATGAGCTCAGTCATGTGCCATTCATGTACATGGTTATGTGAATTCCAGATGCAGGAAGTTTTGCATGCTCTTTAAGCATGTTATGCCTGTGGCCGATACTTTGTGATATTATAGTGTAAGAACTGGTATAGTTTCAGAATGGAAGAGGCACCCAGACAAGCTTACACCTACCTCTGGGGGCTATCCCATTTTTGTGATAGTGTTCTTTCAGTTTTGACTAGGGGCTGACCTGAAACAATTCACTTTTTCATTAACATTTCTATGTTGTTGAAGACATCTTTTAAATAACCCGATTTACAGCCCTTCTCACAAAAGTGTTGATTTATTCAGTTGCAATGTGCTGTCTTGCTCTCAATTTGAAATTGCTTCACTTACCTCAGATATATAATCATAAAGTCAAATATGAATGACTATGTAGAACTCTATGTAAAATATACCTGCCACAATTGACATAACATTGTAGGCAAGCAACTACTGGATACGAAAATCTTCTTGAATGGTTGCATTCTGAAAGGCCATGCTATATCTCTATTCGTACATAGGACGCTACTGAATAAACATGATTTAATTAATTTATTTACAGAGCTCCCTTCCATGATTGTTCACTTCTGAGGCTTGTCCTCCAACTTCATCCACTGGAACAGTATATATTGATTTATTTATGTGCAGGATCAGCCAGAAAGGCTCTCAGTGTGGCTTACAAAGATCAATAATAAGATACTCCCTACCTTCAGGCTTAGAACCTAAAAGATCTGATAGAGAAAGGGATTAGGAAGGAGGCAGGGAAAAAAACAGACACTAGACTTTAGTTACAAAGTTCAGTAGGTCATGGATCTGGATCTCACCCTAATAAAGGGCTGCTTCTCCCTTTGATGACCTCAGCAATGTTGAGAAGGAAGGGACTGTCAGCCGGAGTTGTATCCAGGTGCATTTGGGATGCCCAACTGCTGCTGCCGCTTCTGCCTCTGATGGACTCAAGCACTTGGGCTTTGGGACATTAGCATTTGCTGGTTATGATGTCACAACAAGAGAAGAAGACAGAAGAGGATGGTTATCGGCAGTATTGTTGTGAGAAAGCATGAGATGGGACTTATGGCTGGCTGGTGTAAAATGAAAAGCTAGATTTTCCATTTGCAAATGTTTCACAAATAGCACTGTATGCAGTGATAACAAACTCATCCTGTCAGTGTGGATCCTGACATAACCAAAATCAGACCACCCTGGCTGGGGGAAACGCAAGGTTTATGCAAATACAAAAACCTCACCAAAATACTGTACAAGAGAACTGAGCACGCTTATGGATCCCTGGGAGTGGTTATTGTTATGTGCAGTCATCTACAACTTACGTCGAGCCTATTAGTGAAAGCCCTCCAAAATGTCCTATCCTTGGCAGTCCTGCTCAGCAATAGTAAACTCAAGGCTGTGGCTTCTTTAATGGAATTGATCCATTTCCTATTTGGCCTTCCTCTTCTTCAGCATTTGTCTTTCCCTAGCATCTCTGTCTTTTCCAGTGAGAGCGAAGTTGGAGGGACAGTTTAAGGGAGGAAAGGCAGGAAAGGAGAGGCATGGAAAGGACTGTCTCAGAAAAGGACATGGCTGGCTGGCTGGCTGGCTGAAACTTTGAACTTGTACCATCTGTACTGAAACATTTTGTTGAAAGCCCTACCTTTTGTATCTAGCAATGTTAATCTCAAGCATTTGAAGTGCCCTATCCTGAGTGGCTGGGATAGCATTAGGGTTAACTTTTAAATTGAATACAAACATAAAATTTCATTAACATATCCAGAAATAAAAATGCATACAGGCTCATACCACTCTACATGTGTAATCCTAACCTTCAAATGTCAAGGCAAACAAACATATTTGGTTTTGAGAATTATGGAGTATGGCATTTTGCTCACCTCCAGCTCCACACAGTTTCTGATTGTGCTCTCGGCACTGGGACAGCATGAAATGGGTAGCTGCATTATTTTTTTTCCAAAATATTGTCAACAGCAACACCTTCTCATCCTATTTTGACTGATTACAGGAAGAGCTTTGACTATTTGGTGGTATAAAAAAGTAATTAATAAATACATGGAGTCAGATGAACAAAGTTGTGTTGCTGTTTTATAAACTTTGATGGATTACAGCCTAAGCATAATGGCAAAACTAGACTGATGATGCATTTTCAGAATCTCTTGTGGGTTTTGCACTGACTCTTTAGCAGCTCTACTGGGCTGAAGACTGGGGAGGGGCTGTTGATCTGGGAGAGAGTATTTAACACTTCCCTATCCAGCGTGACCTTTCTTCAATATAAATTGCCTCCCTGCAGAAGCTGTTATTAGCCATGCAGGCCTGGAAAAGACAGGTTCAGTGCTGTTTATCTTTTTCCCCCTGGGGTACTAAGAGCAGTATTAAGCAGGAAGGGAGTACATGTGAAGGTGGGTCATATTAAAATAAATATCATAAGGCTAGTTTTGATTTTATTTATCTTGGAATGACCCTGCAATAGAATATCTTGTTTTCACTATTAACAACACCTCTAATTTAATAGACTTTTCCAAATAAATGCCATCTCCAAAATATCATAGTTGTATTTGCTCTCTCTGTTGAATAAAAGATCAGTGCCAAGTTGTCAAGAGCAAAGGTAGCTAAAAAGCAATTGCCAGCAGGAGTGAAATTAATAAAGTCTAAATAAAATTAACTTGCTTGCTGACAACCTAACAAGCTAATTACTACTTCAGATAGTCAGTAATAAGCACCAGTCAAGCACACAGGTCCCTAAACCAGCTGAATGGCTTGCAGAGAAAGAAAAGGGAGCATGTTAACTTGAATGATACTGTGCTATGTGCATGGAAAAGTTCAGCACAATCCTGAGCAGTCGTACTCATTGATTTCAGCATAAGTTAAGCACGTTTTTCTGCACATTTATTTATTTATTTATTTATTTATTTATTTAATGTTTTTGTATGCCGTCCCCTTGCTATATAGCCTCCTTGCTATATACTTGGTGCATACAATGAATTGGAACCAGTTTAGCAGTCCAGTTCAAACTTGTATCTTTGAAAAAATGAAACGCTGCTTTGAAGAGTATAGGACCTCACCACATGAGAAGTTTCCTTTCTTCAGCTAAGAAAGCCCATCAAAATCTACTCCAGGGTCCTATCTATAGGATATACTTGTCACAGCAATCCAGCTCAAAACAGCATTCCTATGGTGTTTCTCCCATGGCACTATAATAGTTTATATCATCCCCTTTTAGGTGTTAATTAACGTACATGACAGAATGTTTGTGCTATACTCAACATTACCTGTGCATGTTCACTCTGCTGTTTGGTATATCCTCAAGAATTAATATTAGCCAACTCAAAAATAAATGTCAAATCAGAATGAGAGTACCAGCAATTTTCAAGCTCATGAAAATTCTCTGAAAGTTGCAAAGTAGCCATTGCTTTGCAGCAGCACCACTTGTTCTCCATCTGATTTTCCAACCCTCTTGAAAGGGAAAACTACAGATTTCTCCACAGAATACACATCCCAGTACTGACCTAGGGGTGAAAATGCATGGTTTCTGAAAAATGTACATGTGAAGTGTGCATTTTAAATGCATTTCCAAACATGATAACAAATTTGGGAATTTGTAACCATCACTCCTAATAAATAAAATTAAAAGCACCTCTGCATGTGGGATTGTGAACATGATATGTGCACATGATTTGCAACCACAAATAAAGTTCTTGTACGTTTACTTTTAAAGTAATGCTACCAAATTTACTAATGAAGGGGCGAAATGAAAGATTTGTGTTCAGAGAGTGATCCAGTACTGCAATGACACTTGGACCATAGATAAGCTACCATTGTGCCAATGACTGGCTATCCAATCCGTCAGCAGTAGGAACATGTGACCCTCCAGATGCTGCTAGATTTTAATTCCCATCAGTCCAAACCAAGATGATCAGTGGTTGGAGTGATGGGAATTGTATTCTGACAGTAACTGGAGGACTACGAATTCCTGCTATACAGGCTCACCTCAAGAAGAAGGGAAAACGTGCTGAAAGACAAATGACAATATACTGCAAAGGAAAATGGAAGGCACTGCAAGCATGCTAGCCTTGTCTCCAGTACCCTTGTCCATGCTGCCAATACCCATCAGTCCTGAGAAAGGGTCTCCACATTGCCCAGAACTGGACAGAGCCAACCCCCTCAACCCACACAGGGTTACCTGCTAACTCTCTCAAACACAGAAAGAGCATTAGTGATACACTAATACTCTTTACTGAACAATACTAGACATGGAGTGGATCCTGCAAAGATAAAGACATGTATGGTTTTGCAATCCAGATACTACTGTTCTGGTTGGTAGTTTTGCAGAGGAGAAGTGTCATAATTAGGAGTTCTAATCCACATGGAACTGGAGGTCAGATGTAGGTTGTACCTGTAGAACAGCAGCCTGCAGAGCACAAAGAAAGACTCAAAATAGTAATGGGAGATTGTCAGCAACTTGAGCGTGTAGTGCTTGAATTTGGATGCATAATAGATGTTTATGAGGGGGTGAAAGGGAAGAGTGGGAGTACCACTGGAGTACTTTGCCAGTGCTAATGCCTCCTTGCCCATAGAGGAAGGCTATTGTGAGCGTGACTGTGTCTCCCTGTTCCCTCTTGGGGGCTGCAGTAGAACACAACGGTTGCAGTGGAGTGCCTGACCTTTTCTAACCCAGAGCTGGTTTGCATGTGGGAGTCGAGCTCCCAGCTGCTGAGGAGAGGGGGAAAGAGATACTGCAATGAAGTTTAGGCAGTGCAGTGCTCAAATGGAGCATAGTGAGATACACTTGTAATGGTTATACTTTAAGAACACAAGAGCCCTGCTGGATCAGACCAAGAGTGCAGCCGTTCCAGCATTCTGCTCATGCAGTGGCCAAGCAGCTGTGCATGAAATCCACAAGCAGGACGTGAGCACAGCCACTCTCCTGCACATGTCC